TCAAGAATGTTTATAGTAGACCAAAGGTTGTTTTGAAGCTGTTGTAATCTAATACGAGTAGAAACACCTAGTAAATAAGGATCATTAATTCGTTGAAGAAATGAAGTTATATGGTGTTGTAAATCTAACATTTCAAATAAAGATAAAATGCTTATATTATAAGAAAATAGTTTTATAAACACTGATATTGATTTACTAAAACTATAAAATTTATAAATAAAAAAGAAAAAATAACATGTATCAAATTTAAATATATATTAATATTTCATATTATATATAATTATAAAATAATAAATATATTAATTTTTAATTAATATTAATATACCTTAATTATTATAAACCTATATATAATATAGCAAAACAATATACTAAAAAAAATTATCAAATTATTTATACTATTATGAAAAAATATCATGAAACTAAACATTATTTAATTTTTAGTTCAGGTAACTTGATTAAAATTAAAATTCTATATATTGATAAGCTAAAGATGAATAAGTATTCTTTATCTTGTAAAGTTATTCAGAAAAAACCTAATCTTGACTCCTATAAGGTTGAGTGTAAATTTGAAATTTTAGATATATGGCTTTTAGTCAATAAACTTGAACCCTTAGATATGTTATAAACAGAAGTGAAATTAAAATTGATTTAATAATTCAAATCAATATAAATTTCTTTTTCATATACAACAGGTACAAATAAATACTTATTACTTGATATTATTTCACTAGCCAATTTTATCTCATTAAGAAATGCAACTGTACAACAAAATTTGACTCACCTAATACAACAAAAAAAAACCATTGAAGATGATTTATTATCCAATCTCAAACAAATAATCACGCAAAAAAAAGAAAATTTTAAAAAAATAATGGTTATTATTGTAGAAAAACCAATAGTAAAACTAAAAGCTGTTCATGTTGAAAGAACAATATGCTTTGTACTAAACACCGTGATTGTGTATTGAGGTGTGAATTGTTAATCATAATCATTAATTGTAGTATCACACAGATGTATTCAATAGATAATTTATTATTTAATTACTGTTAATTAATGCGTAATTGATTATTTTTTTTTTTTATTTTTTTAATATTTTATAAATCAAGTCTAGAAGTAATATATGCGTAGTCGGTATTGTTATACTGATTATTATTTGACATACGTTAAATTGCAATTTTAAAATAACATGCGTTATTTTGAAACTAACATGAATTGCGAAATGACACATAACTAGAGATGGGTTTCATGCGTGCGCATGATTGCGAAAACATGCGCATGATTCCGTTTCATGCGCATTTTATCCCATCAAGATTTCTCTCCTCTCGATCGTTTTTTCTTTTTTTTTTGCCTTTTTTTTATCATGCGATATCATGCGCATGAAACATTTCGTGCATTCATGCGCATGTTATTATAAAATGCGCATTTTTCCCATCACTACACATAACATATATAGTAATTGTTATAATTGGGGGTTTTTTTGTGGTTATGCTGTAGTAGTTCATCATACTGCATATCAATACTGATACTAATCCTGATTAAATATGCACAGATATCTGATTAAAACTTGGATGGATAGAAAAGTTTTGTCGAAACCTAGCTAATAACTGAGCAGTTTTTGGACCGGTCCAATAACTGCAGTCGGTCGGTTATGAGGCAATAACCGACCGATAACCGACCGGACCCACCCCTATATGCAAGGTGGCTACTCACGAGGATACACCAAATTGTCATTTTGACAAATCAAATTATATAATCAGCAAACAGTATAGGCATTAAACGTGATAATAAAGAGGACAATTATAAGAAACTGTAATAATTTTTATATAGAAAAAACACAATGGATTTCTATTTGTTCAGATTACTCTAATTCTTCGGTTTTTAATACTTTATCATTTTCGATTTTTGAATAGTTATAAAATTTATTGTTAACATCTTTATCAAAAAGAATGTTAACATTAACTACATAATCTCGAAGAAAAAATTCTAAAGCTTTATGTCGTTGTTCGATTGCATTTAATCTATCGTCAAGTCTTTCAGGAGGATGGTCTAAATGTACACCTTCATCAGCAAATGGAATCTGATCTTTTAGATGTTCGTAGAGGATGGTTCGAACTCTTTTCTTGATACCACAGCAAGGAAATGATTGTACAATCCCCCATGGATTTTTAGTGGGTTCGCCTTTTTTTTTTTTTAAAAAAAAAAAAAATTCAACTCTGTTATAGGTATATAGAGGATAATCCAATACAATAACTTACCAAATAGAAATATATTGATTGTAATGGCCAATGTAAATAAACCTCCAACAAAACCGAAAACATCAAAAAGAGTTAAAACTCTGAATTAATGTATTTGAATATAACAAATTGTTAATAAATTTGAATATTTATAATAAATTGAAATCATTATAATTTCGTAGTATGGCATTACAATTTTTCTTCTTCGGTTATAACTGTAGTTGACGCGCAACCTATCGAAAGAATGGTTTGATTTGCTAAAAATGGCATGGAGACAGTTGCTAAATAAGAAAAAAAAACACGCTATTAGATTTAGAATGAATAAAGTACTTTTTACCATATTTAATGATTACCAAGACTTGAAGTAATATATGGTATTTGCTCATGTTGAGGACTCAAAGAGAATAAGCTTTTTGGTATATCAATAAGTACTTCACGGATTTGTTTAGTGTATCTGAAAATATGTAACTGCACAATATAAAAATTTTTTAGAAAATTACAATATGCATAAATATAGAAACCAAATAATTCCGGCATTAACAAATTTTACACACATTCCCTGGTCCTGCTACATAGGTATTTGCATATTCAGAATCACCTATTAAGTCTGAAGATTCTTTGGATAATGAGTTTAATAACTTCTGGTTATTTTTAATTGCATCTGTTTCTACAAAAAAAGTCAAAAACAAATATAATTTCAGTAATAGAACATTTGACGTTTCAGTTATGAACGGTTAATAAAAAGTTTGATAAGTTACCTGGATCAAATACTTGAAATAACGTGGAATCTATTTGGTTAGTTTGGTTTATTTGAAATATATTAAAAGAAATATAGGTTATATTCAATGATCCTGTTTGGTTTATGTGAAGATTAGCACTAGGTGCATCTTCGTCTATGTGACTTGTTAATGTTAAATTTGATTTGAAAATAGCAAAAAATGGAAATGATGATGTCGGATTGTATGTTGTTGTTATTTTTTGAGTGCAATCCGAATTACTTTCGCTATATATATATCCTTTTTAAAGAAGGTTTGATTAGAGATTGATAAAATTAAATTATATAAAAGGTTTGAAAGTCTTTAACATTACCTCCATAAGCATATTCACAGTTTATAGTAAAATTATAATAAGAAATAATATATAAATCTATTGATTTAAAGTAAATCATTTAGAATATATAGTATAATTTTTGAATTAAGAATAGCATTTAATAAAAGTGGTTTTTTTTTACATGGTGCCGGAATACTTGAAAATTTTTCTTGCTTATATATTAACATTTTATTAGCTTTACTTAGTTCGTATAGTTTCCAAAGCATGTAAGCTAGTACCAAGGCACAAGAAATACATAGAAAAGTAATTCTAATTATTTTAATGGTCCTCATTTCCGACCGATGGAGAAACCCTTTGAGTGCCTGCATATTTAGGAAGGATAAAAAATTTAATAGTTGATATCAAGACTATTTAGTCTTGAGTACGTACTTAACGTAAAAGTACGTTTTATAGACATTCGTCAAAAAGATCCGAAATATTACCCTATGTGGTGCATGCAGGGGTTCCCTTTTTGGTCTTTCAGTACGATTTTGAAGATATTACCTTCTTTGGCGATTTGTTTATTGTATGCTCTTAGAAAAATATTACGATGATCACGATGATCACCAGTAAGTGAAATTTAATGTTCTCTGAGAACACAAAAATTTTAGGTTACATTTATGTGAAAAATAAAAATTTTCAAACCCTATTATACAGATGTCTAACATAAAAGTAAATTCGAATTTCATACACTGAAGGGTTCTGGTACATGCGTACGTACGCTTACTGAAAATCACTAACAATTGTTTCAACATTTTCATTGACAAATTTTCCTATAATCCTCATCTTAAAACATAATTAAGAAATGTCATCAGAAAATAATTTTCAGCAAAACGACTTTTAAATTTTGGGTACAATGGCATTGTAGAAAGTTATTTTAATTTAATGATGTAAGGAACACATCTAAACATTTTATAATGTAAATAAAATCTAAGGTTAAATAAAAGGTTTTTTCCAAATTCATGAAAAAATTTTTGAAGTACGAAAAGCTGTCTCATAGGCAAAATTTTGAGATAGCAAATTGTTTCCATGATTTTTGTCGATCGTGGTCGACAAAACTTGGCACAGAATTCTAGTGTGCAAGTTCCCTCAAAATGTCTTATCATAAAAGATATGGCCACTTCTTTTGTAAATTCCATGACATAATTGAGAATGTTACGTAATTCATTTTATTTGGTTTCGATGCCATTCACGAATTTCTGTATCAACATTTAAGGGTATTGGATACTGAGAATCAACTTCCATTTTAGGGTATTTGTCGTACCTGAAGTTGCCACCTTAGATATCTTAAGTAGCACATTGCTAGAATTACATGAACGAAGACCATTTCAGGGTTTATTCTTGTTTAGTGAGACTCCACCAAGAGTCTAGACACGGGCACGTGACCATATTTGCGGCGTAAAAAACATTCAAGCTAGTTTAAGTTAGGGTTAGTGTTTGTTGGGTACTAACTTGATCTTGAAATATGATCGAAAGAAAATTATCGATTTACGTTGACTATATGCTGTGAGTTGTAGGATGGTAACTCCGGAAGCCGCTATGTCGATCATCTACATAAAATGGGTTTACCGGCAGTATACTCAATATTCGCTCTGTAAATGATAAGGGTAATACGTAGAGATGGGAAAATTGAGGGTTTTTTGAATCTACTGCGCAGGCTGCGCAGCCTGCACGGGCCTGCATTACAGCTAATGCGAGCAAGAATTGTTAAATTATGCGGAATTCCGAAAAATTCCACCCGCGCAGTGTCCATCTCTAGTAATATGTGGGGGAAAAGGGTATAATTATAATAATCAATATAAACATTTTAATTAGTATAGACATTATAAGTAATATAAGTAATACATCACGAATAGAGTGTATAATGTACCCTATGTAAAAGAAAGTATATAATGAAGGCTTCGAGTAGTGGTGGGCAAATCGCAGTTTTGTAAAAATCCCGCGCGGGATTCGCGGATTGTTACTGTAAATTTCGGCCGGAATTATACATTGGCCCGAATTATCCAGAACATCACGTGATGCATTCAGCGCGGATTTCCCGCGCATTGCCCATCGCAAGCTTCGATTCCTACGAAGAAAAACATTCATTGTTTGTGAACAATAAAATTCGTCTCATGATAATCCCTGCATGTGTCCTCTTACGTCATTTTGTTCAGGAGGTAATTTGCAACCGTTAGTAAAAATTATAGCCAGGAAATTATAAAGAATAATTTCTCAGGAAATTTCATATATGAAGAAACTTGCTAAGCATTATTTAACATAGTGAACTTGGCTATCTAGGTACTACTAATAACAAACTGGAGAAGTATTTAATTAATAATTAAAGCATTTATTTCATTATATTAATGTTAATATTTTTTACATCATTATAAAAATAAAAGAAAATTCTAGTGATTAAAATTTAACCTAAAGATAGAGTGTATGTAGATCATTTTTATATAGTTCTGTATGTCTTTTTAAAATTTCATCTAAAATTGATATATGTTACTAATAAAACTTTTTTATTTTTTAATTAATTAAAAAAAAATTTTATAATATTATAAATAAAATTATTTATCCATTATAATAAAATTGTAAATTATTGTATTATTTTAAAAAAATATACTTGTATATATGATAAAGTTTTCTTAAGTTGATTAAAATTTTCTTAAGTAATATAAAATTAAAGAATTTGATTGGTAAATTTATGTAAGCCTATAAGTTAATTTTATTACATAATTTTCTATCTTAATGTTTAAAAATTAATATCTTAATGAGTTTTTATTCAATTTTAATAATTTTATTATCATTAAAATCAAAAAATTTACTCTACAACTTTTACTTAATAATTCAAATTAGTTTACTTAATATAGTTTTTTATAAATTTAAATATAAAAAAGAATTACTACTAAGTTTATATATAATTTTAAAATAGTATACTCTATCCTAAAATTTTTAATTCTGCAATTAGAAATTTTAAGATTTAAGTCTTTAAAAAAGAATTTTTAAATATCTTCATTGGTAAACAAAAGAGTAAATACAATTGGAATTGGTAAGTAATAATTTATTATTATTATTATTACTATCAACTTTATTTTTTTTAAATTCATCATTAACTTTATTATTCTTTTATTAATTTTATTATTACTTTATTAGTTTTATTATTTTTATTGATTTTATTAGCTTTATTATTTGCATTAACTTTATCAGTTTCATTATTTTCATTGATTTTATTAGCTTCATTATTAATTATTTTGAAACCTTTATTATTTTAGTTATAAACATTATTATTATTAAACTATTTTTTTTAAAAAAAATTATAAATAAATATTGTAATAAATATTATAAACATATATGTGAATATATATATATATATATTCTTTGTTAAAAATATGGTAACCTGTGAAATGATCAGATTGTCAACCTTCAAGTGACAAGTCTAAATTTAAAATCCGAGTGTTAACAAAAAATTTGAAAATCCTCATTGTATTATAGTTAACTGTCTTTTGCAATTGGTTGAGATAAGATACCTGTTATCTATGTTATACCAGTATAACTGGCAAGTCACATAATATTTGTATAATAGTTACATAACATTGTTCTTTAGGACAAGGTCTGTGGTTACATGACAGAATGCAAACTGGTACTGAATAGTGCAAACCTACAATAAGTCTTCATAGTCATGCCAATCATAAAAACCAAATAAAGAAAAATAGAAGTTCAATTAGAAGATCTGAAAAAAGAGGTAACTTGAACTTTTAATAGTACTACTATAAAGACTAAACCTATAAAACAAAGCTAGAACTTGTAAAATTAAACAAATATGCTAGTCTTTGAGAAGAGACCAAATGAACCAACTAGGCTATCAGAATTTTCAGATTTTGAAGGAAAAGATTACATGTTAGCAAACATGTAATCCAAAGATGTATAGTTACAACTATCTTTCTAAGCTATCTGGATTAGCAGCTTGGTAGAACTTGAATTGAATACCAAAGTAGTAGGAATATATTGTGAAGTCAGTATCAAAGTTGTGATAAACTCTACAAGGGCATAACAGTTTAATAGTATGTTCTGACTACCAATGTTGGTCTCAGCCATAGTAATACTAGGTTATTTATAAGAATGAAATACAAAAGATTCTAAAAGGTTTAGTATAAGGTTAAAGGCTAAAGGTTCCTTATATAAGTGAACTGCTTTAAAGACTTAAGGGCTATAATATATTTTCATTGACATTGATTGGAGTTATTGGTAGGCAGATGTAAGTAGGTAAATACAGAAATAGAGTAATTAAATAGGAAATCTACAAGCAGGTTCTAGGTATAGCAGCTAGTATAGAACCTTCAGGTGAATTATTTAAATTAGACAATGACTAAAGTTATATGAATGACTAGTTGTATACTCTTTTTATAGTTGCCTTCTAGGTTGTAAAGCATTCATTAGCCAAATATACTACCAATAAAATTCTAGCTTACAAGTACTCACCTTAATATTTTTAAAAAAAAATAAAAAAAAAAATATCTTTTTTGTTTCAGATAGTACAACTAATTTAGTAATTATAACCTGCTGTTATTTATTTTAAAACTGGTATATATTATATGTCTTAATAATATATGCTTAGTAATATGCATTCTATAACTCTTTTCCATAGATCATTTTACCAAAATTGGACAAAAGAAGAAAAATTTTATATCAAACATAGAGCAATAACTACTAAGTAAATTGATCTTGGACCATTAAGTAAACTTGTTCTAAACAGTAAACTTGACCTAAAAAAGATACAAATCTTGGGAAAAAATATTTATTAGCAGCCTTGAATTACAATAACATCAAAAATAGCACTGCAACAAACAACTCACAATTCAGTAAAAATGGTTCTAAGGACCTTTACATCTTTACTAACCCAGCATATAGACATACGATGGCAGCTTCAAAAAATAGCAAAAAAACTACAGATAACCTACAAACCAACCCACCACAAACTCTGAACCAAACAACCTCTCAAGGCACTTTCTTTTCTTCTCCATTAGCTTATTT